CAGCCATTTGTTCCTTCCGGTCGTGGTGATTAACCAGCTCAAACTACGGGCTCACCGCTGATTGGTCCATGAATGGTCAGCGAATTATGAGCAGTCACATAAATATACATCTCGGAATAATCACACATCAAATCATATCGTGTCACGGTGCCGTGACCTCACACGCTGGCCTCGCCCCCCCCCCCCCCCCTCCCCCGTGTTCCCCCACCTCTGCCTCCGTGCATGCGTTCTCCTCCTGTGGAGTGGAAACAATTAAGTGAAACTTTATCGCATTTGTCAGAGAATGCAGGTGCCGTCACATATTCCAACATCCAGACTGACCACGCGGTACCGCCGAGGCCAATGACACCAACATACGCCCGCTACTCGTGATCTTTGCCGCGGTTGATGCTGCTTTGCCGTGGTATCACGCTGGGCTCAAACCACAAAAACGAAGATAGCAACCAATCAGACTTTCCCCCGAAAACCCAGCTGGCCTTCACATGCCCACGGATGGCCTATGCCAGCCGTCTACACGGCTTGGGCCCGCACGGCGTGGGCATGCTGGAGTAAAGGCCGGATAGTGTCCTCAGCCGGTCAGTGACGGTGTTCGCGCTCAGGCGGTAGTCTTATGATTCTGCTTTGCAGTCCTGTAACGCAAGGCTTGACTAGAGCGATTCAGTTCCCTATCCCAGGCGCTGGTTATGCGCAGTCTATACCGACTAACGGGCCTGTCGACCATGCCGATATGCAAAACACTGAGGACTCAGTCGTGTTCCAGGCCCCGGGACGGTTCAGTGTGACGTGCCACGACCTTGAGCGTCGCTGTGAATAGCTAAACGCCTGGTAACCTTGTTGTCGAGAAAAGGCGGACAAGGACCCCACCTCCGGCAGACTACCAAGGCCATTAGAGGCCCTCACGCCTAACATTTACTTTACCGCTTTTCCCACTACCCACCGGTGGGCCCACTCACTTGAAATCAGGTGTACTCACCCGTTACCCACCTGTTTGCATTTTCCAAAAAGCTCTGTTGTAAATTATAGAAGAGTTCTAGAAAGTTGGACCTAAATATACCCTTTCATGTTGATAACTTCTAAGATGGTGTAAATGGAGCTAGTATGAATAAAAGAGCTATTATCATGACATTATGGCTCATTTCTCGAAGCATCTACCCGACATTGCGTACACGTCTAACTCATATCCGCGCCGGCACCCGTGTTGTATCATTCGGAAGAAGCGAGCTCACTGTCCTGCCAGCTGAATGACAGGCTACCCTGATAATTATTATTTTTATTCACGCTGCAATACGCGTTTGCATCCCAGTTAGGCTCAGCCATCTTTTGACGTTGCCAGATCAAGATCACATTTGAGGTAAGATCTGACTAGGCGTAACCAGATTCAAGCCGCATGTGCTATAAACGGGTCGGGCTCATGGAAGCCAGCACAGCGGCCAGGCCCACCAGAGGTAGCAAAGATCATAGCCTCATGAGAACCATTGCATGCCGGGCGATCCCACTGGAGGCAGACGCCGCTAGGGCCGGTACTGCTGGCGGCCTTACCAGAGCCAGCGCGGCGACCTGTCCCACCAGGCCGGCGTTGCTGTGCCGACGCGGCGGCAGATCCCAACAGCACCAGAGCACCCCCTACCCCTCCTGAGCCGACCTAACCGCAGGACCGCACCCAAAACTCCGTGGCGACCCTTGCTGCCGAGGTCCATGAACAGTGGCCGGGCTCCACAAAGCCAGTAAAGGGCCGCCCGCCAGCTCCCGCCTAGAGGTCAGTCTGTCCTGAGCCAGCGCGGTGGCCGATCACTAGACGGACCCTCTTGCGGTTCAGTACTGGTGTCCACAACAGAAGGTGAGACACCCTCATTATCAGGGGCATGCCACCTTTTTATGCATTTTATTGCCTTTTACCTTTTTATGCTTTTATTTTTATTGGTATGCATTCCAGATTTCCCTATATCCGTCTGAAGAGCTCCGGATTTTGACTTGAAGTAGATGCACCAAAGAGAGAAATGGCATTGGACTTCTTGCTCACCACGTTGAACGAGCATCCTGACAAGCGTTCTATGTAACGTTTGCAATACCGCAGTCGGCCAAAACGCTTGTCCAGTGGGATTATGAAAGCGTAAAACATTCTCTTTAGGGGAAAACATGCATAAATATGGGGCCATGGTCACGCGAATTTAACGAAGCGTCACACTTTTGCTTTATTTTATTCCTCATGACAATATGCCCAGTGGCTCCTTTCGAAGCGCACTTTGACTTGTGGACATATTGTTTACTTCGATGCTCAGTTCGTTGCAAGGCTGTGTCTATTGGTGGGTGTACGCCAACAATATATCACGTGGTCTATTGACAATCATGCTCAAACTTCCACCAGTGCACTTTTCGATGAAAAGATTACGCCGTCCACTGTTTCCAGTTACGAGTATTCATCTCTACTGACATTCCAATCACGAGCATTCATCTTTTCTGACATTCCGATCGCGAGCATTCATCTCTGCCGACATCATTCCTACCCGCATATGCCGGAGAACATGGTAGCTTTTTCTCTTTATCATGCCAAGTTGCATGCAAATTCTGGGCGAAATAGACGTGAAATCCCTGTGCCCCTGGGGGCGGGGATGTAACTGCATGCAGCTGCAATTGCGAATGCTACGATGAACATCTCACTTAATTGTCTCGCATGTGGGCCAAGATCGTCCATTCCAGAAAAGGAGCCGGGGGCTATAATGAAAACAACTTGCAGTGCCGTATTGTAGTACCGTGGCACAACGTCGACCGTGCAGTTGGGCCTAAAAAGAGTGCTAATTACTTGCTTGTCACATCATTTTTACGGTGAGCGTATTTACCAATGCATCTGTTAGACATGACCGGTCGTGAGGTTTCACCTGAGTATTCTTTCTGAAACATGTCCAGGGCTGGCAAACTTCCCTCGAAAGAAGCTCCGGCGACACCCAAAGCCCCTGAAAAGACCGACTAGCTATCCTAAATGTGCAGTCATAGACACTCGAACTCTTTAAGCAATGCCATGCTAACTCTTGAGCTGCAGCGTGGACTTTCATCATTGGCATTTTGTGGTGTCATGAAGCGATATCATAAGTGACTTTTAAAGGGCCATTGCTACGTTTCGTCGTAATATTTTGTTGCTGGGATCATTGTAAAATGTTATATGGGTGTCCTCAGAACGCCCCGGGGAGATTTTTTATCAGCGTCAGTTTATCTACAGGATTCTATCTATACCTTAAGCTTGCTTACAAATCACAACTCATCGTCGCCAAATCTCACCCAGCCTGGTGGCGTGATTTTCCCTGCGTCTCCTGGAATTTCCAATGCCGTTTGAGTTGACTCATGTAAACTGCAAGACGCTCAGTAGTTCCGAATAGCTATAGCAGCAGGACAACATTCATCAACGGACTTACCCAGCCTTGCAGGCAACCCGGTGCCTCTGACTGCTATGACGGTACAGAACCAGCCGACGGGCTCCGGACAGCACGCTAAGCTCTATGGCATGGGCGCATCATGTCATCGGACAGGATCTTAACATGCAGCAGCTAACTGGCGGCTGCGAAACCCCTTGAGAGTTGAGGCACAGAGTCGGACATTAGGTTTGTTCCAAACGACACCATAGCTCAATTTTTCGAAGGTTTGGGACAGTACCCTCTGTCCTTTATCCGCACAATCGGCTGCCCCGAAGTAAAAAACTTCAACATTTTATGCACAACATATTACATAACACGGCGAGCAGCTTAAACGCTTATTAGGTCCTCTTTAGCGAGCGGTAAAAACAATTACCATCATTTTTCATTAGCGCTGTGTTATTTCAGCCCTCTTCTTACGCGTTATTAATGGGTTGTTCCTTGAACTACCACCCGCAATTCCCTGTTTACATATCGATTGAACGGGTGGGCGATGCATAAACATCCTGTACCGACGACCGCCTACTTCATGATTGATGTTTATCTTCTCCAGTCAGTGTTGTTTATTGCCGCTCATCATCGTCCCGCGTCACGGAAGTAATGAACCAAATGAAGTAACCCATCGAGATAATGCACTGACATTACGACAGGCATTTTCTACCTGGATAGATGTCACGAATGGGGATGTCCTGTTCGTAGCACTGCCCAATAATAGACGATGGATCACGGAAGTGGCCTGCCAGGATGGACAATGGGAGTGTTTGCAAGCGCGTCACTTTCTTAAAGCGGCTGAGGGTGCTGAGCCTATAAGGTTTACCTAACCATGCGCGAAACCCGATTTCTTCCAAGATTTCGGTCACTTTGATTTACTTCCCCGATATAAAAAACCGTCGATTCCAGAATTGTTTTCCTGGGGAGAAATTACCTTCTATTTCAAGTCGATGTGAAGCTGTTTTCTCGTAAACAGCTTAGAATGTGATGTAATTCAAAAGAAAAACATTTTAGTAATTCGAGCCCTTGTAATTGACGAAACCAATACCGTTTGGTTGATTGCTCATCGAAAATGTCCCAAGGCGCAAAAGACGGTTTTGTTTATTATAGCAAGGCTTGACACGTACGCGGGAAAGCCTATTCCAACTTTGGAAAAACCTGACACCGTACACACACACACACACACACACACACAGACATATATATATATATATATATATATATATATATATATATATAAGGTTAAATTGAGGGAGGCTCAGCGGGCCGTGGAGAAGGCTCAAGGCAAGATTTCGCGAGGAGCCCAAAGTGTAAAAATTGGCACCCATAGACATTTGCCTTTGTACTTGGTTGGAGTAGGGCATGCGCAGCGGATCCTGGTTAGCATGTAGTGGACGCTGTATGGAGCGGGTGCCTGCTTCGTGCAGACGTTCCTTCGGAGCATGGCGGACGTCATGGATCGGCTGCCCCTGCTGTGCCGCAGCGGGAAGCACCAGAGTCGCTGGGCCGTGTTTGTCGCTCGGCTGGCTGCACAGTAATTATACCCTTTGACCCGGCCCCCGACCGCACGAGCTGAGCTGACTAGCCTCGGCCCGCGCTCCTCAGGAAGCACTATGTGGCTACTGCATCATCATCATGGCCGCCTACTGGATGACCGAGGCTATCCCCATCCCGGCGACGGCGCTGCTGCCCGTCGTGCTCTTCCCGCTCACAGGTGAGATGGGGCTTCGCGGGCTGCATGTCAAGGAGTCACGGTCAAGCCTGTCGGGCCGCCGCTCCATGCCATGGAGGGACCACATTCCATTGAAGATTAGGGTTGTTCACGACGATGACCGCCTACCACGCTCGAATAGCGCTACGCCAAACGGCGAAGTCATCCTTCATATCAGTATGCCAGATTCCGAGGAAGCCCATCGTATAACCTACCCAAATAAGCATTCTTTATATATATATATATATATATATATATATATATATATATATATATATATATATATATGCCCAAGCAGCAGTTTTTCTCCAAAGAAAACTTTCTTGAGCAGCGTGTTTGTTTTGTAGAGAAGACACGCCCTTCAGCACCAGCTCGTCCTCTTAGTGTGTCGGGGCCGGTGTCCGTGAGTTCTCCTCGCGCCGGTCTGTCGCCAGGCGTGCTGTCCACCAAGGCCGTGTGTGGTCAGTACGTGACGGCGGCCAACATGCTCTTCATCGGTGGCCTGATGGTGGCGGCGGCCGTGGAACACAGCGGCCTCCACCTCCGGATCGCGCTCTGGGTCCTCATCCACATGAGGGCCGGCGTGAAGTGGTGAGCCATCCGGTTTCTATGCTAGTCACAGCCACAGGCCTGTTTGTCGCCTTCGCAGATGGGTTGGCCTCGTGTTGAGGGCGCCACGTGACTTGTGACACGCAAATATGATGGTTGAATGTGTGGTGTACGCAATGTTCTGCTGAGATTTGCCAGAAAACATAACACAAATTAGGTCACGTCATATTAGCATCCATTCTGTCTTCACCCTTCTTGTGTTGCTGCTGCTCACCATGTTTCTGTCTGACGATTTTCAGGCTAATGTTTGGCTTCATGTTCGTCACTATGTTTCTATCCATGTGGATATCAAACACAGCGACAACGGCGCTGATGACACCCATCATTGAAAGAATCATCCACATACTGATGGAGCCCAGCCCGCTGCAGACGAGTACGGACGGGTGAGTCATCGGCGTCACGTGATGGTGGGTGGCTTAAGTGACACCGGTATGAGTCACTGGTCGTGTGGTGTAGAAGCGGGCGGTGGTTCGCCTGTCTCGCGTGATTATTGCCGAGTGGAGGGTCGGATCTCTGCGCTGCGGCCAGCCATGTGGCGACCTGGGCGCCAGTGCATACCCTGGGATCTGGGTTGCACTCATCATCGTCGTTCCGTACAACCCATACTCAGTGTAGCGTTTTCACGAAGATTGGATGGAACCTCTCTTTGTGTTGATGCCTGTAATAATGGGAATGACGCCATATCGTTTTCCACACGCTCACATTAAATTTCCCACTAATCTTAAGGCCAGCAATATTTTGTCGCACTTGCCTTTTACGGGATTACCGAGGTTTTTGTGTTGATATCCTTTCCACGTTGACAAGTTTCCATATTTCAGCAACCAGGCAGCTAGACGATATTAGAACAGCGACAGCCAAGGTGGCGACAACCACATGCTCAGAGCTATTTACGCGCGATCGGTGGTGATCGACATTCGCATTCGATTTGAATGCCGGGAGGTATTAAGTAATGCTGGGAGCAGGCGTGAGATGAAAGCCGACTTCGGCTTTGGTTCCACGAAGCAGCAGATTGCCTGTAGCAGCTTCGGCTCTGGCTTCGGCTTCTAATAATTTTTTGAATCATGATCTAAGGTTCGGTCTCGTGCGACCTTGAAAGGCCGTCCCCGACTTCGTCTCGTGAACTTTTTCATTTCAGTTTTTACTTTACTTCGCAAAAACAAACGCCCGTTCTGTCACTCCAATATGTCTACTACACAACCTTTCCAGCCCGCGGCACACATCTGAATGGGGAATCTGGGCCACCATATTACTCATGATTTCTGAGTTACGTTCCTGAGTCATAGTGCTAGTAATTTTAATACTGTTTTGTGCTGGGCAAGATATGCAACGTAATGTTTGGTAATTTTCGTGCTGCAATAATATTCCCCAAAACACTTCGAGATTTGCATTAATGTAATGTTATTAAAATTATTCTACAAGATTAAAAGTTCGCCTTATCGGCTCGTACAGCCAACCATGAGCTCATTGTTAAACGTGGGCGTGGTTCATGCGCGTGACCAACAGTTTGCCATTCAACATCTACAAGTTGGTAGCGTCCAGATCCGTAGTAAGGACAGTCAAGTCATACTGCCCTTCGGCGAAAACGAAAACGCTGAATAAGTTCATAAACTCAATGGGGAAACTTTTGTCGCTTCTGAAGCTTTCAGTTTTGCACGCTTCTGGAGAAATAGCATGCTAAACAAGGGCCTGCCAGCCATTGGAAGCTGGCCCGGACCTACAGATGGCTTTTAACAACCCACTGGAGCTTCTGAGCAGCCTGGAGACATCAGGACCACCATCAGACAACTTGATGCCCTGTCTGATGCCCTCCCATGATGCTCCTACGAAGCCTGAACCCCCAAACTCTGCAACGGTGACAATCATGGGAGGCAGTGCCAACGAGGCGAACGTCTTCATGCCAATACTCCCGCCAATCCTCTCTGACATGCCCTTCGAGTTCCAACAGATCACCCTTCCTGTCAAGCTGAGCTATGCCGCAACTATGAACAGCAGCCAAAGCCGGTGTCGGAAGGTGACAGGTCTTCATCCGACTTCAGCCGGTATTCCTCTATTCTGCCGGGTTCAGACTTCCGTCGGGTGCTCCGGGTGCAACCGATCAGTTCATCCTGTTCTGGCGGATCCAGGTTTCCGTCCGGTGCTCCGGGTGCAGCCGAACTGTTCATCCTGTTCTGTTGGGTCCAGCTTTCCGCCGGGTGCTCCGGGTGCAGCCGATCTGTTCATCCTGTTCTGCCGGGTTCAGCTTTCGGCCGGGTGCTCCGGGTCCGGCCGACCTGTTCATCCTGTTCTGTTGGGCTCTGCTTTCCATCGGGTGCTCCGGGTGCGGCCGATCTGTTCATCCTGTTCTGCTGGGCTCAGCTTTCGGTCGGGTGCTCCGAGTGCAGCCGACCTGTTCATCCTGTCGGCTGACTGCAACACCAGGAATGTGGTATGCAGGAAAACAGGGTAACCGCGTTATTTCCTGGCTCAGGCATAAAGCTGCGCCAGGATGGTAACGCGAACCGGTGTTCAGCCTGCGCTCGCCATCGTTACACTGCGATGGACACGGCCTTGGCTAACCAGCGTTTCAACCGTCCGCTGCTGGGAGTGCCCGAGCCACACAGGGACCGCAATACCGTACCTCGGAGGCACGGGTTTAGTTGTCTTTTTAACAAAAATTGTTCCGAATGCTTCGCATGGGTGATTTTGGGTCCATAGCACCTGCTAAGCATAGCTTGCCGTGTGTACCCTGAACCCACCACCCAAGTCGTACCGTCCAGTTCAAAGGATAATTCTGCCTTCGCCCTTCCGTCAGACAGGGAGGCGGAGGGGCTAACGTCGCACAATGCTGCGGCACGGCCGCCCCGGGCCTGGGTTGACCCTCGTTGGCCAGTTGCTAGCTGACCTTTCCATTTCAGTCGCGCCAAACGGTGCGCCCGCTCTGAGACTCGTGCCCATTCCTGCTATATTACGAGTCCAGCATCTTTCCCCTAGAACCCGGAGGCGGCACACGTTACAGAGCGCAGGCGGAACACGTTATTTAGTCGGGATGGGGTGGGGTCGGCTGAAGTCCCCTTCCCCCGCCTTGGGATTCATTCCGTCCAATTTTGAGATAAAAGCAGGTCAAATCCGCGAAGACACCCGTAGGGGCATATTTCATATTTGCTCGAGGCTCAGCCCCCTGACTCACTTTGCGAAACTGACTCACTTTGAATGATTCACTTGACTCACTTTGCGCCCCGAGCATGTGCCCATCCTCGGGGCGATCGTGATCCCACTGGCTGTACGGCTGGCTAAGCAATGATTTAGTAGGGCCGGGACCTGCTACGTGTCAGAAATTCTCACGGAAAATTTGTGACTGGCGTGCAGGTTCTGCAGATTGCCTGTTGGTGCTTACTGTCGGTCCCTGTGAGGCTGAGCATCTGGTGATGAAGTGTTTCTGAGAATGTGTTGACTGTTTTTCTCCTGGAGCTGATCTGCAGCTGGACATTTCGTTGGAGCGTGTCCCACCATTAAATACCACTGCAAATACAAACACCTAACACGAGTGGAGCACTCCATCATAAAGTCAATGACAGCTATCTGTAATTGCTATTTCTTTGTATCACGTCTTTCTTCAGTACGCAAACATCCCTGGGCATCCCAGCTAGTGAATGCATAAGTAGTGAATTAAAACCACAACGCAAGCGAACCCAAGCGACCGCAACATACGCATCTCGCATTATGCGTATGCTCCAAACGTATGCAGATATGACTGCATTTGATTGGCAGTTTACTTTAGACCTATTGCCAGCGTATGCTACTCCAAGGAACTACTACATCCAGCATGCATACTCGCATGCGGATACGCTGTTGAGACGCCGCTGATGTATGTATCGTCATGCACAACCGGTGCTTGGCCCCACGTGGAGTCGGAGTTTATTCCGAAATCCACCATACTTCATGTAATTCTGTGAAGACTCCATTTCAGTGGAAGAAGAAATGAGGTGAGCTGGATTTGGAATTACGCGTCATTCTGGGCATCCGAGGCTTTGCCGTCGTCTTTGTGAAATTTGAGCTGACGGTACGGGCAGGTTGCAAGCGATAGATGGCGGAAAGTACCAATATTGCACCTGATCGCTGTCCTATTTGTTGACCCTTGTTTAAGAGATTAGATTGATCGTTTGATACGGGCATGACAGTGTTTTCATCTCTGTCTATAACAGTATAGAGGCATACCAAAACGTTCTGGCTAGAATCACTGGTAAGTCGCGAAATTGAATGTAAATTATTGTCACCGAACTCGATGCTGTTCGTGATTTCAGGCCGGCGTTGGGCGTGAGTCGCCAGCGTCTGTCGGCGGCGCTGTACATATCGGTGGCGTATGCGGCCAACTGCGGCGGCACGGGCACACTGACCGGCACCAACCCGAACCTGGTGCTCGTGGGCCAGCTGCAGGAGTGAGCACGCGCGCGCAGCAGGGGCAGAGCTAGGGGCGGACTGGTCCCCCTCCCCCGCGGAAACGGCCGGCAGTGTCGTTTTGAAAAATCACTGCGGCAGGGCTGGGCGGAATGTGTGATGACTCATGGAGCTATATTGTACCCGAGAACGAGCAACAAAAAAAAAAACAACAAAAAACTGGACTTTTCCACTTAGCTCACTTCATGTCCAAAAAATACATTTCCGCCTCAGACATGGATGAACGGAGACCTGAATGGCTGCATCTCACGCCATGCTATAAGCAGCTGAGCCATACGCAGGCAATGCTCGTTATCACCTCCGTTAACCACGCGCTTCGCTCCAGTGGTGGCGTCGCCGGAGACGTCTCGTCTGCTTCGCCCCCAGGCTGTACGGCTCCAAGACGGGCCTGACGTACACCACGTTCATGATGTTCGGCGTGCCTGCGATGCTCCTCTGCACCCTGATCGCCTGGATCTGGCTGGTGATTCTCTTTCTCGGCGTCAGACAGTTCAAGTGCGTGCGTCATGCCGTCCAGCCGTGCGCGTGCAGCAGCTTCGGTGGCCCGCGCGCGGCTGTGCTACCCTCTGTGATCGAATTGGGAACGTATCGTTTCCGTATGACAAACCAGGGTTGCGGCTGAGGACAACTTACCTCGCAAACTTGTGATAATCTCTAGTTCATGACATAACTCGCATGGAGGGTGCAAGACGCATTCTGATGAGCAGTCGGTGATGGTATTTGGTTTATGACATGTCCCAGTTTGTGGACCATTAGCGCCGCTCAGTTTGTGATCATCTTGCTCATTACTCATGGGGCATGCACCTCTCACGCAAGCGACAGGTGCAGAAGCAATGGTTCTGAACAGCCAACGATGACATCTGGTACAGGGCATGCTCATGCAGCGGACATGGAATCAGTGACCCTGCACGGCTCATGACGTGGTCACTGGCTCATGTCACTCTTACGGAAGACAACAACTAGAATGACAGTGGTCTCAGTTCGTCACACATCCTTGTGGCAGGGAGAGACCAATGGTTTCTGGCTGACGGCTACCCGCTCGACAGGTGCGGCACCAGCGGCGACGCTCGGTTCGCGGAGGTAAAGCGTGCCTTGCGTCAACGTTACGAGGATCTGGGGCCGATCACGTTCCACGAGCAGATGGTGACGGCGCTGTTCTTGGTGGTGGTGGTACTGTGGTTCACCCGGGATCCACTCATCGTGACCGGCTGGCTGGAAGTGTTCTCAGTGAGGTGAGTCCAGGGAAGGCGCTCATCTTGAACAAACATGGCGGACTGCTTGACTGGATGGATTCGCGGCGTAAGTCCTAGCTGGTCAAAGCTTGTTACGAAGGTCTGAACCCAGCACCCTATGAAAGCAGTTCTAGTTCCATGGAATTTTCGCCACCAGATGTCCGCTTGTCGCGCTATGTCGTGGACCGGTTTGCCTTGCCTCAGCACGGCTATTGTCTAATGGCCGATGGACGGTCAAGCTGAGGTGTACCGCCGCGTTTTCTGGGGCGCCACGCATCTGCCACACATTGGTCAGGGCGTCCGACGTACTATCAGCTGAACTGCAAGGACGGAAAGCTCAAACGTAGCTGGAATGCTCGCGGATGGCAAGCACCGAGAAAGCTTTGTATGCTCGGTGTTGAGTTAGTCTAATTCTGAACGCACACGAGACGCACATCCGAAAATGTCAGTTTCAATCAATGCCTTGACGATTCTCTCGCAACGGTCGAAGGGCCTGCACTGTGCAAGACTGCAAGCTAGAACGTGCTCCACAAACTTGGATTCTCGCCGATGTATCGTTTGAGTCGGGTCAAAAATGGAACGGGCCCATGAAGTTTGATGTGGGGTGTGCATTACATGGCATTCCATCCTTGGTTGTGGAAATGATGCCGCAGTACACACATACAAGGCCACCAGTCTGATCTCCGAACATTGATAATCGCAAGGTAATGCTCCTTTTGTATGAATGACAACCAAACAAGGAAAGAAAAAGCAGACGATTGTTTGCGCGCTCACGTAACATTTATGTTGTTTCCGTGTATCTGCCTTTTTGTACCAAAAGGCCTTGTACCTTTGTCCTCGGTGTTATTTTCGTGGCAATTCTAACATTCCCTGTGCGGTGTTCGGCAGGATAAGTGATGCAACTCCTGCAATACTCGTCGTGGTTCTGATGTTCATGATACCGGCCAAACCCAACTTTAAGTGGTGGAACAGTAAGTGTGCTGTTTACGGCATCTATTTTAGGCACATAACATATCTTCAGCGTCATGCGTCCGGGTATGCACTGTGAGGATGCTGAGATATTTTGGCTAAGATTCGCGATGGGAGATGGGATGATGGTAAAGTCACTTGCACTGTATGGGCTCGCGTACGCAGCGTTTATCCATAGTGCGCAATAAACGCAAGATGGGATCTTCTGTACCCATCAGATGGGCGTGCAGAGCCTGTCGTACAAATATGAGCAGGAGTAGCACGCAAACGCCCATGATGTTTGGGAATGACCGAAGCATTACACCATAAATTTTTTACTGCAGTCTTAAAATCGAATGGGAGACGAGAAATAGGCCGCAAATGTACTATTTTCGGCACTCATGTCTCTTCAGGTGAGTTTTAAACTTCCAAAATGTCTCTCTGTCTGCCAAAATATGGTACATTTTGCGGTTGATGGTTGTCTCGCACTCGAATTTGAGACTGCATCCAAGATCACACGGTGTGATGTTGCTAAATATGCACAGTCTCGGAGAACGCCTGCTATTAATAAATGACTGAAATGACTACCATCATTGCCTGTCATTGCGTGTTATGCAGAGCACAATCATCTACTTCCAGAAGGAGACATTAGCAGGTAGCTTTCGTCCTCTGTACACAGTGGTGAGCATTCGCTCAGTGTCTTGATGCTGTTTTCATGCTTCGCAGAAACGCGTAGAGACACAACTAAAGTGAGCGAAGGGCTTTTGACGTGGAAGGTGGTGCAAGAGAAGGTTCCGTGGGGGGTGATCATTCTACTCGGTAAGAAATAAATTCTGCAGATCACCATAATCGGTGCATGGTTATGCTTAGCACCGATTGTCCCGACAACAGGGTCAAAGTTTGTTCACATGTGTTCGTGCCATGTGAGCAGTATTTCAATCAACTGCTGACGCTGTTGCTATTTATTCCAGCTATTGGGTTCGCGGTTTGCAGCTCCGTGCCGACATACTGAGTCCCCATACCGACATACTGTGTTAGCGGTTTGCAGCTCCAATGCGACACATTGAGTCTCCATGCCGACATGTTGAGAAGCAGTTTGCAGCTCCATGCCGACATACTGAGTCCCCATGCCGACATCTTGAGATCGCGGTTTGCAGCTCCATGCCGACATACTGTGTCTCCATGCCGACATATTGAGTTTACGGTTTGGAGCTCCATGCCGACATAATGTTGACTACGTTTGCCGCATTATTAGGTTGTGTTTACACGTGTACAGGCCTTTGTTCACTTGGTCTGAAAGGCGGTTTGGCCATGCTCGACGGGTTTTTCACCCGCACATACCACATCAGTATAATCGGCGCAGCGTGACTGTCACCTCCAAGTGCCGGGTGCCCTCGTGTGACCCCAGGTGACCTCTTCCCCAGGGGGCGGCTTCGCGATGGCTCGTGCCGCCAAGGACTCCGGCCTGTCGCAGCTGCTGGGCGACCAGCTGACGTTCGAGCTGCCGCCGGTGGCGCTCGTCTTCATCATCTGCTTCTTCACGGCGTTCCTCACCGAAGTGTCGAGCAACACGGCCACGGCCACCATCCTGCTGCCCGTGCTGGCGGCCGTGGCGCAGCGGGCGCGCATCAACCCGCTCTACCTCATGCTGCCCACCACCCTCACCTGCAGCTATGCCTTCATGCTGCCGGTGGCCACGCCGCCCAATGCCATCGTGCACCAGGCGGGCCAGCTGAAGACGTCGGACATGATGCGTGCCGGTCTGCTGATGAACCTGCTCTGTGTCGGCGTCATCACGCTGCTCACCAACACGCTGGGCGTCAGCATCTTTGAGCTGCACACTTTCCCAGCCTGGGCCAACGGCACCGTGGCGGCGCCGACGGAATAAGCGGGGGGGTGGGGGGGGGGGGGGGGGGGGGACACAGCACGGCGAGCCCCTGCGGAGAGAAGCGGCCGTGAGCCGCTCTCTCGGCCCGCGCGGGGACTCGGTCCACCCAGAGACCTGCACAGGCTGGCATTACAATGATTTATGCCGGACACAAAAGTGGATGGCTCCGGGTGATCCGGTTGTGGTTAGACCCGCCGCTTTTTCACTTTGTAGCCCGTGAACTGTGGCTGGCAAGATGACGTTGTCTGATAACAATTTCGTTTAAACCTCCCAGCGAAATCCACCTACTTTCGAGCGTGGCCATTCGAGAGACTCGCCGTGCTGTGGTACCTGCATAAAGCTTACATGAAGCACGAAAAGGGATAGGGTGCCGCTATTCGTAGCGTCGCAAATGACGCAATATGCAGGTGAAGAACAGCTTTGATGTTCCCGTGCCAACTGAAAGGCAATGAAAGCGAATGCAAGTGGTTTTTGATTGCAAGATTGCGTGTGTTGGGCCGGCCAGGCCTTCCTTGCGGTCCGATGTCAGAGCTCTTCCGGCAGGAAAACTTCATGACGCTGTACTTCCTCACAACCGTACAAGAACCTGCGTTTGCCCCGGAAAAATGATGTGTTTTACAGTGTGCATGGTAAATAGTGTTAGCATTGTTGCCTTTCTCGAAATTAGCTCACATTCTTTAGCGCGATTGTGCGTGCGCTAGTCTTTAACTCCTTTTCATTGTATGTGTTTTGCTTCCCGTTTGCTTCGTTCTTCACTGGCATTTGACCACATCTAGCAACGGTGGCTGGAGTGAGGTAGCGTACTAAATGGCGTCGATGCCACGCAATAATCATCCATAACTGAAGGCATCAAATATACCATTATAATGCAACATAGATAAGAAATTCCATCGCGTCGTAATTTCGCTATTTTCGTGGACACAGCAGGTGCAGAACTCTTCCTGCCTCTCCTTCCCGCCTGGTGCATCACGGCCAACATGGCCTGGCATTTCCCTTCGACTTGGAGGTGGCTGAAGCGGCTGATGCTATCCATATTCACAGGTCCTTAGCTACACATCTATAAAGGTATTTTTCACAACACACACACACACACACACACACACACACACACACACACACACACACACACACACACACACACACACACACACACACACACACACACACACACACACACACACACACACACACACACACACACACACACACACACACACACACACACACACACACACACACACACACACACACACACACACACACACACACACACACACACACACACACACACACACACACACACACACACACACACACACACACACACACACACACACACACACACACACACACACACACACATACACACACACACACACACACACACACACACACACACACACACACACACACACACACACGAAACCTGGCTTCTGTACCTCGAATTTGAAGTCCAGACCAGGATGCTAGGATGTTAAAGCAATGCTCCATATTTGAAGATACTTAAGCACGCATCAGATAAGAAATAGACTCACTTTTATAACTATTGGTATGCTTTTTGGTGGAGACAACACAATTTCTCTATTAAGTAAATGTGCTCCTCAATATAGCATTCCTTGATTAAGCCATCGCACCTTTCACAACATTAAGAGCTAATTGACGGCCGTTATATGTGAAAATCGTGCTCACGAACAACGTATATACCTCTACTTGTCTTGGCCTTGATCAACGAATGGCCTGTGAAATTGCAGGATTTGAACGACATTACCATGGTGTCACAGTTGCCTGGGTAGCCTTGAAATAGTCTACACGAAATAGTCTGAACATCTTAGCGGGCGTTTAACTTAGACAATAGAAGGGTTTTAGTCTTAAGAAGGGCAGTGCTACTAACTATCCGAATAGTCCTCAAGATGGCCATTCGAGTTCAAAACTCCATGCAAATGTGGATCATTCTCTTTGGGCAAGAGGTTAATATGCCTAGCGTTTGCATTCTCGTGACTTAAAGTCTCAAAAAAGGTTTTCGGTCATTTCTTCATGTCGAAATATTAATATGTCTTGACGTACCGTTGAAACTGTTGTTGGTAGATGTCATACACGGGCTCGCGGTGCAGACTGTACTCGAGGACATCAGCTGACCGGTCATAGACCGTACGTCCTACACCAGCCAATGGCAAGGCGCCACGTCATTAGGGGCGGTCCTCATACCACAGCCTACTGCAACAGACCTCCGAAATCTTATATGTTCTCCATCAGCCTTGCGTGAGGGAGGTTTATGTAACACTTTGGTACAAATTAAGCCCATGTGCGCAGTGCGACGCCAGCAAACCTGTCCTTCGCGGTCAGCATTGGCCGAGGCGTCTCGATATATGAGATATAACAGCATTATGCCTCTCTTTTTCAGAGGCTCGTAGAGGTACTGCTCAAAGATCCATGTCGCTAAACAGAACAGGAATCAGGTTATACAATGTCTCTCATGGTATCATTCGAAATGTTCCAGAACAGCGCAGAATGTTGGCTGCCGCGAATTGACTGTCGACCGCGAATTTGCAAGTTTTGAGGCGCCGGTAGTGAAAATAACATGATGTAAAAATAGATACGTAATTATATATATATATATATATATATATATATATATATATAACTCCTAAGGGCACAAACCATCTTTAGCTGTTCGAGTTCTTTTTGCAAATAGTCAGTCTTCAAAATACTAGGAGATACTACCTAACCGACGATATTAAGCGTTGGTGTACATGATGTTGTCAAGCAAACATTACCACTTGCGACCATGATGAGCGCCTCGAAAGTCGAATTTTCTTATAATGCATTATTATGCACCCTTTTTTACGGGTCCACGAGCTTGATGGACACCACTTTGGACAGCCGTCCTCATCAAAACTAAATGGTGGTCCACGAACGAAGTGGACCATCAGCAAAACAAGCTGGACGGGACCTTATTTAGCCTATCGGCAAAAGTATGGATGTCATTCGACACGCATTTGAATGTGGGCAAAATTGTTCGTCTTTTAGAGCATCATGTTTCAGAAACAAGCGGAGTATATGATCGATATGCACAACTCCTAAGCGTTAAAGGAAACAGTCTATCTTTAACAAATGAAACTTTCCGTGACGGCTGTTCCAAATATCAGTTGAAATATACCACTTAGGGAATTTTGATTCTTGCAGAGCTCACATCTCTTCGGCATTGTACCTTTAAGCGAGGCAACAAACAAATTATTTTATAAATACAACACTTATTTATCTACGAACAAAATAGGTATGCATCAATGTAACACAAATCTGGAAAAGCACGTCCACCAAAGCAACGCATCGCATTCGTGGCATCCTGACAAGGACGCTTCGATACATCACGCATTCAGACTTTACTCCAGGATCTTCCTACCACGAAGACAACGCGCCGCGAAGCTGCCTCCGTGGGGAAGACTGGCAGGCACAACGTCAGTGACTGTCCACTCCTGGGCCTCGGACGCTTCTCTGGTAAGGCACAACGTCAGTGACTGTCCACTCCTGGGCCTCGGACGCTTCTCTGGTAAGGCACAACGTCAGTGACTGTCCACTCCTGGGCCTCGGACGCTTCTCTGGTAAGGCACAACGTCAGCGACTGTTCACTCCTGGGCCTCGGACGCTTCTCTGGTAAGGCACAACGTCAGCGACTGTTCACTCCTGGGCCTCGGACGCTTCTCTGGTAAGGCACAACGTCAGTGACTGTCCACTCCTGGGCCTCGGACGCTTCTCTGGTAAGGCACAACGTCAGCGACTGTTCACTCCTGGGCCTCGGACGCTTCTCTGGTAAGGCACAACGTCAGTGACTGTCCACTCCTGGGCCTCGGACGCTTCTCTGGTAAGAGTATAGTTTCGTCAATCCAAAACTCCTATCGCGTTCTGCCGGGTTAAAACGCTATTGCCAGGTACTCCCTGAACACGTGCCAGTGATTGCCTAGCGCAGAATTTCAACACCGACAAACAATTATATGTGGTTGAGGAACGGAGAGTAGGCTTGTCAAAACTGAATGGGATGCGCCGGCGATGGAGGTTGATGTTCACGATGTGGCGATGGGGCACTGGCCAAAAGCAACGTTGCCTGATTACCGTCGAGCGTCGTCAACAGCTTCATCACAAACTCAGCCACGTCATCTTTGATGACACAGGGGTGGATCGCCTCAAAGTGCGGAACCCGACATCATGAGGTCGCCGAACCAGAAAAGTCACGTTACGGTCGCGCGGGGAGCGGAAGATCCGGTTCACTTGCTGGCCGATCACAGCTCGGCCGTAGATCGGGCTTCCGCTTACAACATGAGCCTTAAACTTTTACGAGGATTGGTCGAAACTTTTGGTGGTCGGTCAAAATGGTTAGGTGGCCAAAAAGGGTTTATATCGTGGCAGATTGTGTGGTAAATAGCCAATGACTGAATGAACAACTTTATTGAATGAATGAGTATTTTCATGGACAGCGGTACATATCTTTGGTAGGTTGAGTGAGGGTGGGGGGTGGGGGGCGGGGGTGGGGGGGGGGTGGGGGGGCGGGGGGTTGGGGGTTGGAAGCAAGGTTAGCCATGGGTGAGTTAGTTTATCTCCGTAGTTGAGAGCTCCTCAGTTTCGTGCTCCTCAAAACCGAGCTGATTTAAATGCTATCAGCTATAGAGTTGTAGCCACATCCGGCTACAACACGATTAACACCAAACTGACAGCATATTAACAACACATGCGATCCATTAAAAACACATGAAGCATCCTTTATCACCTGTTGTTTCGCCTACGGTTCGTGCTGTCACGTCACCCACTTTAATGATAGTGTGCTTGAACATACACCACGCAATCGCACAGGTGGCTGTCGACTCGCATCGCCCCAGTGTGTGCAACAACCTTCTGGTCTTAATGCACGCCGGTTACCTCAGTGCATCAGCTTCTCCCAATCCTTTCCACACTACTGTCAGTCACGCCGCATCTCCACGAACCGAGAAGGGGCAATCGATTACGTCACCACGATGCCCAAG